AAATGTGCTGGATTACAAGATCTCAGATTTTAAACAGCGATTACGTAACTGATTTTGGTGGTCATGCTAGGGGGGTTTACCACTACGTAGAGATTTTATATGAGAATACGGTTTCTTTCCTCCGGATCTGTGCTGTCATTGGATCAAATATATCCAAAACTATACCGATGGTTACAACACTACCTCTTGGAGAATACGCATTAATAACTCGAACTCAGTCTGGACAAAATGTAGATTTCGACTTTGATCTTTACGAAGAAAATGATTAATTAACCGATTATACCTTTCCATTGAAACCTATTAGTGCAATTTTTATGGCCTTTTGGTGTATTGAACAATAATAAGATGCTAGTTGCACAGAATGAAACGACCACTTCTTGGAGTTTTCTTTCAATCGAAATGCCACCACTTTCCCGTTACAATGATAAAATGTCTTTAAATTTAATGGCATGAAAATAAATTATTCAATTTAAATAATAGTTATGCTTGTATTTTATAGATACTGGTTATGGTAATTTTCATGGGAACACAACGTACCCTCAAATAGGTGTTAGTGACCTAAAAGTAAATTCCCTCACGATTTCCATTAAATATATCACGCTCAATGATGGCAATTTATAAATTTATCAAAACATTAGTGAGAACAAAATTCTTCGACAGTTAATTAATGCGAGAACTTGTACATAATACAGTGTTTCAGGCAATGTTATCACAATAGATGTGTTTCGCTGTGCTTTTAGTGATCCGATTGGGAGTTATTATATAGAGGTGGATAATAATTTTATAAAGAGCTTAGAATCAATGAACCTATACTTGGAATTTATGGACTTTTAAGAAAGGTAGATTTTATGCAACAAATTTAGTTATTCAAGGTTATTTATAACATTTAAATTTCATCAATTGGTGTTAATAGGTGAATTACCACATGAACGTGTGCTGGTAATATGATCTAAGATTATAAAGTTGATATGCATGATGTTAAACTTATGATTAAAGGTGTTCTCAAGCATCTCAATCAATCAATTAAATAATGATCATGATAACGCTCAAGCATCTCAGTCAATGACG